TTTGAGAGTTTGGGGTGGCATCAGCTTTTCGTTCTGTAGTAATCCTTTTCCTTATAGCGCATATTTCTTCAGAAACCTCATAAATCTTTTCCAGTATAAGCTTGCAATTTAAATGAGAGTGAAGGTTCTCCATTTTAAAAGTAGTCAAAGAAAGTCTTTTCTTAAACAGTGTCCACCCCCTCAGTTCCCACAGCTGCACCAGCTTATCTCTTCCAAAGATATTTTGAAGGTCAGGTTTTTATCCAAGAAATAGCTACAATATTCATTTTTCACCACTAGATGTCCTCAGTAAATAAAAAAACTTTTCCAGACACCTTTTTTTCCCCTTTTTTCTCTCTTTTAAAGGAAAGAGTGGAGAAAGAAATATTCTTCCAATGTTAGCTCTTAAAAAAATTCAAAGAAGCATGTTTTTTTTTCTGTATCCCAAACTGAGTGAAAATAGATTATAATCTTTAAGAAGTTTCAATGCCTCTCTTCCCACACATATAGAAGCCGCTCTTTTCAAACAGGGAAATAGTTCCAACCCAAGTTTTTTCAGGCAAAAAGAACCAAGTAGGGGAAAGAGAGGGACTAAAGGGGTCTCACCCGGATCCTCCGCGGTGGGTCTAATCTCGCTTAGTTGTAATTGTGACTTTGGCTGGTGCAGCAGGATGATCGGCCATCTTGAAGGACGATGGTTGCTCCATCGGCCCTAAGGAAATAGCTGGAGCCACGAGAGAAGCTGCCGCTCTCCCACAGCTGCCAGCAAGCCTCCTTCTCGGTGGTTGCCCCTCCAGGGCAACTTTCGACCCAGCAGGGGGGTCTACCAACGAAGAAAACCCGGCCGGACTGGAGACGAATCCCCAGACACGACCGGCGTCGCCGCGTACCGGAACCGGAAGTCAGTTGTATGCATTTTTATCCAGCAACTTTTGTTGAGGAAAGGGAATTCATGAAGCTCTTATTAGGAATATATTATCAGGAGAAACAAAGAGGGAAAACTGTTGAGATAAAATGTTAAAAGTAAATCCTTTCAGTTCAGCTAAAATGCCTCATGAAAATAATTATATATTAGCTAAATTATTCTTTTTTTGGATATATATTTTAATTAGTTTTTTATAATCAGGTGTTTAATATTTTATCAGCAACACATTGCCTAGGTTCCAACATTTAACTTCATCGCTGACGTATAAAGCCCTAAAAATAGGGACAATATGGCAACGTCACATGTATTCTATTATTTTTTCGTCTTGTTTGTTTTATATAGACATCATTACTACTATTATATCGGGTTGGTCCATGGTGACATTGTCATTACCAGTTCAGGCACTTGAACCAGCAACCCCATCGCCATAGGGGGCATGCCCGATAGCCGTGCAACAACAGCCATCAGCCCGACGATTAGGCAGCTTGGGAACCGGACAGATACCCGCACAAGGCTTTGGAACCTCGAGGAAGAAACCAAACTACAGGCTTGGGATCCTGAACCAAGAAACCCACCCATGGCTGGTGTTGCACAAAAAAATAATAGAATATATGTGACATTGCCATAGCAATGTCCTCAACTTTGTCCCTATTTTTAGGGCTTTATACATCAGCAATGAAAAACCAACCCTACTTTTTCAGGGGTTTTGAAACATGCTCTTTCTAATGAGAATGATTTAACAGAGTTTCCAGAAGGTCTTTTTTTATAAAAGCGGGCTAAAAATACCCTATTTTTGGCATTTTTACAAAAAATGTCAACTTTACACTCAATTTGTAAACTATTGGAAAGCAGTAGGAGAATGAAATTTTATATTCAAAAACCTTGTGTTGCTAAATTATTACACGCAAAGTTTCGCGTTTATCATACCTTTCCTTCCAGAGATATAAAAAGACAAACTTTAAACTTTTTTTGAGCTGCAATATTTTCGGACAACTTTGCTCCAAATTATCTAGATGGAGATTGCTTATGAGAATGTTTTTATTATTTTGTTTAATAGAGCACAAAAAGTTGTACAAGATGGCCAAGTTTTGTTTCTCTCAATAAAATATTGCCAGAGATATTGTATCTCAATGTTGCCGGAACCTCAGAGTCATACAGTAGAAGGCTGCGGTATGGGGTCAAACAAATGACTATATCTCCGCAAGTATTGCATCAGCAAACATAACACTTTACTAATGTTCATTGGGGACATGTGTGCATGTTCACACAAAATTTTATCAAAATCTGTGATGATCGAGCGGGGTGCTTTTCTGAAATCAGACCATTTGACATGGAATGACTCCTCTGGAACTTACTAGCTTTTTCTTGTTGAAGCAGTGCTTCAATTGATTTCTGATACACCAGACTTGCAGACGCAGAGAATGGGGCTGAGGGTGCTTTCTTACCAGTTTTAGTTAAATTCGGAACACTCATTTTATTTCTACTCCCCAAATCTTTTATCAAACTCTAATACTTTTTCCCAATGCCCACCTTAAACCAAGCCATTAGCATTATATTCAACACGATATATCTTTTAAAATTATCTTAGGTAACTCTTATAGTTCTTATCTGTAGTCTCTAAGTCAATAGGCTCTCTCAGCAAAGAGGTAAGAGCAAATAAAAAAAAGTTTATAGTCCACTTCTATAGGTAGGACTCACTTATAGGAACGATTGTTCAGAGTCCAAAATTATAATCCACCAAGACCTACTATTCAAGTTGATAGTCCATAGGCCTTCTCCAAGGAGTATCTCCAATATTTCACTTTCCACTGTCTATAAATAGTTCTCCAATCAAACATTAAAATTTTGTAATCCACTAGTCTCCCCAAACAATAGGAGAGATAAAAAGGAAAAAAGAAAAAAAGGGAAAGCATAGAATTTATCCCAAGGTCTGATGTTGCCCATCTGCCAAGGTTTTAATCCAAAATGTCTTTCTTGCAGCAATTCCTTACCGCTCACTCTGTCTTTAAATAGCTTGTGAAATCACAGCTCAAACAGTACTTATAATCCGAAAAAAGCCAGATGGCTTCAAAGTCGTTTATATTTTTTAGTTATAATCCATCCTGTAGGGGAAAACAGCCCCCCAAAAATCTTCTCTTTTTTCAGCTATAATCCACAGGATTGTGAAGGTCAGGGACATCAAAGGGTTTAGACTGTAAACTATGTCTGGGCATCAAGCTCTAACACTCCCGACAAAATATAGATAAGATTTATGACAGGTTTAGTGTAGTTCTTTTCTCTTGCCACTAGATGTCATTAGATGCCCATTTTGTAATTTTCCAGTAGCTTTAAAAAAAGTTTAGCTCCGATACTCTCCAACAGAAATATAAAAAAGTTTAAAAATATTAAAGCTCCCCAAACTTTTCTTTTTTCTGTTTCTCTCTGTTATATCCACAATGATATTGTAGACCTCTCTTTTTTCCCCTACGAAAACTTAAAGCGCAGCTTTTATTCTGGAGGAAGGAGTAAGCCCCCCCCCTTCCTTTAGTTCTGGGGATTTTGTTACTTTTGGATGCTTTTTTCCAGAACAGGTTTTATGATTGTAGAAGAAAAAAATAGTTTCACCCAGGTCCAGTATGTTGTTTACGCTTGTTTAGAATCTCTTTTGCCTCCGGCGGTCAGCAGCTTCCGACTGGCTACATTTCTCCTGCCGGTCCCAAGGGATCCTTGGATCAAGCGGGTCAGTTACCGCCTTCCCGCGATCAACAAGGGTCCCCTCTTGGTCCGTCACCTCTATGGGGCGACCTTTGGTCCTTTTCGGACCCCCAGAAAGAAGAAATTGGGCGTGGGAATCAGAGCCCTGTTTCCCTGTGCCCACCTTGCCACAGCAATGAAACCAGAAGTCAGCTAAATTATTCTGATAACACTAGCAGTAGCATAGCATTTAGACTTGTATCCACTCCATAGTGCTTTTCCCTATGGGTGGTTTGCAATGTCAGCATATTGCCCCCAACAATCTGGGTCCTCATTTTACCGACCTCAGAAGGATGGAAGGCTGAATCAACCTTGAGCCCTGTCAGGATCGAGGGCAGAGTTTGCTTGCAATACTGCATTCTAACCACTGTGCCACCAAGGCTCCTTATCCAATTCTGATAACACTATACTGTATTAGTAGGCTTGTTTCTAGTTGTCAAACTAGCCATTAATTTTTTTTTATTTTTTTTTTTAAGAAATTTTATTTATTTTTTCAATCATAAAAAACAATCACAAGTAAACACAATAACCAATCAATAACCCCCCGCCCCCCCCCCGGACTTCCCAAACCTAATCCCAGAATAATATTCATATAGAAGTAAACAAATACTAATATCTCTAACTCTACAAAATATCTTAATCTACAAGAAAAGATAGTAGAAATAAACCAACTTAAAAAAATTTAAAAACCTAACTTATATTCTACCACTTTGTGTTTCTTTTGAATATAAACAATCCATCTTCCCCATATTGATAAAAATTGTTCATTCGAATGGTTCTTCAAATAAGCCGAAATCTTTGCCATTTCAGCAAGATACGAAACTTTCAATCTCCAGTCTCCCATCGTTGGCAGAATTGGGCTCTTCCAGTTTTGGGCTATTAACAATCTAGCAGCAGATAAACAATAAAGCATTAAGTTCATTTCTTTTACGTCTAAATTCTGCGCAATACCTAAAAGAAACAATTGTGGGAGAAAAATAATCCTTTTTTTAAAAATCTGCTGTAAGTTCCACCATAATTGTATCCAAAAAGCCTTAATAGTCTTACAAGTCCACCACATATGAAAAAAAGTTGCATCTGGATGACCACATCTCCAACACTTGGATTCATAATTCGGATAAATACGAGACATAGTTGAAGGATCCAAGTGCCATCTATAAAACATCTTATAAAAGTTTTCACGTAAATTTTGAGCTTGTGTAAACAAACTAGCCATTAATTTTTGATATAAGATGGTATTGATATTTATTCTTTGTCATAAAAGAATATGCTTTTTCATACTAAAAAACAGAGTTGAATTATTGAGTCATAACTGATTTGGGCCTCATATAGAAAAATCCTCTCCTTTTTGCACATTTTACAGAGTGATGGAACACTCTTGGCTACTGGATCATATGATGGCTTTGCAAGAATATGGACAGAAGATGGTAAGACTGAAGAATTTTTTTTCCAGATCATTAGATTTTTTTGTGTGTGATCCTAAATTTATTTCAGTGTTCAGATTATTTAAAACATTGACTTTATTTTTAATTCATCACAGGAAATCTTGCAAGCACCTTAGGGCAACATAAAGGGCCCATCTTTGCTCTAAAGTGGAACAAAAAGGGAAATTACATTTTAAGTGCAGGTGTTGATAAAGTAAGTTGAATTCTATAATTTGCAAGTATCAATTATCTAGTTATCTTTTTTATCTTCTATTTCTGTATTTAGCAGATGGTGGTGCCATCATACTCTTCATTTCTCTATATGCACAATACAGTAGTCAACTATTGTCTAACAATGATCAACTCTTGTTCAATTTATACATGGCCACATTTTTTATTTGTTGAAGACCCCATATTATCTATTTTGAGTTATAAGAATTGTGGATTGTTTCGACCTTAAAACTGATAATGCTGATTGACATCTGTCTTTTTTCTTCCATTTGCTCTTCCTTCTCTACCTAGACAACAATAATTTGGGATGCTCATACAGGTGAAGCTAAACAACAGTTTCCTTTCCACTCAGGTAATTAAAGTTCAACTGTTTTTTATGCTTGCTATATTTAACAAATGGCAAAAAATGTTTACTTTGTCATAATCAATTATGTGTCACAAGTGACTATTGTATTAAACAAATTTAGGCTATTACATCCTAGTTTGCTTGATTACATTAGTCTGAAAAGAAGACAGAAGTGAGATAAATTTTGTTAGATAACTTTGAGAGAAAAATTTTGCCATACAATAAAGCAGGGGTGTCAAACTCAATTTCATTGAGGGCCGCATCAGCATTGTGATTGCCATCAGGGGGCTGGGTGGGCATGGCTGGTATGGGTATGTCCTACTGGGTGTGCGTGGCCAGCTCGACGTCACTCACATCAGGGGCACCTGTGTGGGCCTAGGTAGGACGGGGGCGGATCCGAAGGTCTCTGGCAGAAGGGGGTGGGACCGGGGCGAGCACCGGGGCATGGTCCACTGCAGGAACCTCACTGAGCCTCAGGCCGTGCACGGGGGCCCTGGACGGTGGCACGGACTGCCCAGAGCCCTGGGTAATGGAGGTCAAGCGCCCAGCCCGGCCCTTGATCCCCCTCGGCACCAGGACCACATAGCCCTGCCTAGCCTAGCCGCACTTCCCCGAGGGGGCACCCAGCTGCGCTTACCTCCTCCTCAAGGCTGCTGCTGCTGTGCTCCCTTTCCTTTACCATGTTGCCCATGGTGGGTGCAGGAGGACAAAGTGCGTGGGTCAGAGGGAGGCCCACTCCCTGTCCATGTAAGGAGACCTGGCTTTGTAACCAAAGCATCCTCAGCAATAGGATGGGAGACCACCAGGGGATGGTGAAAGGGCAACAGGGCTGCTAGTGGCCAAGTGCTAAGGCAGGACTTCCCTCAGACCCTCCCTCCCTCCCTCTTATTCCAATCTCCCTTCCTCCCTGCCTCCCTCCCTGCCTCCCTCCTTTTCATTCCTATCTCCTTCCTTCTTTCCTTCCCTTTCTTCCTGTTTCCCTCCCTTCCTTCCTTCCCTCCCTCCTTCTCTCTGTGCCCAGAAAGGGACGAGTGGAGGGGGAGAGATTGGCAGCACTTATCTCAAAGAAAAAGAGTTGGAAGAGACCTTTGAGGTCTTTAGTCCAAGCCCCTGCTCAAGCAGGGAACCTATACCATTCCAGACAGTGGAATATCCAATCTCTACTTAAAAGCCTCCAGTAATGGAGCATCCACAACTTCTGAAAGGCAAGCCTTTTCACTGGTTAGTTGTTTTCACAAGTCCTTAGTTCTAGGCTGGTTTTCTTCTTGATTAGTTTCCATCTATTATTGCCTTCTGATGCTTTGGAAAATAGGTTGACCCCTTCTTCTCTGTGGCAGCCCATCAAATATTGGAACACTGCTATCATGTCACCACCCCTAGTCCTTTTCACTAAGCTAGACATACCCAATTCTCACAAACATTTGTCATATATTTTAGCCTCCACCTCCCTAATCATCTTTGTTTACCATCCATTTAGACCAGATGGTCCCCCTGGTTTGGTTTATAGAACAGTGGCCACAAGCAGAGCCTTCTCAGAGACAGCACCCCAATTATAGCACTTTCTCCCAAGGAAAATATGAACAGTGCAACCCTCACCCATTTAGAGGCAACTCCAAACACACTGTTCAGCCAGGCATATGTAGAACAACAACACATTTTATGGTCAAACATCACTAAGTAAATTATTTCTAATATTTTTCTTTCTTAAAATACACACTTTTAATATTGTTTTAAGCAGTGCTAGTGGTGCTTTACAATAGCTGTCTTTGAGAGTTTTCTTGTAAACCATCCTGGATTTCTCAGAAACTTTTAATTTCAAATTAGATGTTGATTTAATAAATTAGGCAGAAGAAACAAATGTTTAAATACATCTAAATCCCACAGACCTACTGCCTCCTAGGCGCATACTGCAGAGAAAATAAGGCATTGCATTTCTAGCCAGCATAGCCACAGGATGATGGGAACTGTGATGACCCAGAGCCCTGAACGGAGGTAAAGCAATCAGCTGGCAAGAGCAATAGTCTTTTTAATCACTACCAATGTTCACCCCAAAGCCCCCACATATGCTGGCACGAATTCAAACAAAACAGCCAGGGAAGTTTACACTGTTCTCAAGGCAAGACAGATAACAAGAAAACGTAGAGTCCTTTTAACTCTCAGCTTGCCTGCAAACTGCAGACTGCAAGGAGAGATCAAGAATGTAGTCTGTGATCATGCAGCAGGAAACAAACTGGTCCGGAATACAAAGTGTCCAGGTTACAAGAGCACAAGTCACACTATCTCAAGATTCCACATTTGTTCCCGGCAAATGCTCCACCCCACAGTGTCTCCTTAAATCCTACTCCCAGGTGTGCCTTGTGGAGTGGGGCGGGATGCTCTCCTCCCGAGCAAGTGAGCCTGCCTCCGTTGTTCCCTCCTCCTCTCTGCTCTCCTTGCTCTAGAATCAGGTGGGGAGGGGCCTTGCTCCTTGCCTGAACTCTGCCTTCCCTGTTCCAAACCTGAAGGGCCCTGGCCTGCCTCAGCCTGCTCCTCCCTACAGTCCTCCGAAGCCACAGACACCCCCTCCTGGGCCTCAACAGGGAACTCCATGTCTTCCTTGGATCGGACGGAGGCATGACAGGAACTGTGCTCCATGACACCCAAAAGATATTAGTTTGGGTAAGGCTGGATTAAATTATAAAAGAGCAGATGAGGGGAAGTAGGAGCAAGAAACACTTTCCACGTCTCTGACAAAATAATTGGGGGGGAGTTGACTCGGCCTTTTAATTTCAACTCACACCAATTCCTCTTAACTTCCCATTCAATCCAAAGAGTTCTATTATTGCCTGGATTTTAGGGAGGGGAGGAGGCAATAATAGACCCCAAAGTCAATCTGCGAGTTTGCTCTCTCACCTGCCTGCACACCATCTTCCCGACGCAGCACGTGTGTATGTGTGTGAGAGACAGAGAGAGAGAGATCCCCTTTTTGTAAGTTTGCTTACTCTGCAATGCTCCCCGTTCTCCACACTTTCGCTTCCCTGCTGGCTCAATCTCTCTCTCTCTCTCTCTCTCTCACACACACACACACACACACACACACAGAGAGAGAGAGAGAGAGAGAGAGAGAGAGAGAGAGAAACCCTTCCTACTTTCTCCCCCTTCTTGTCCTTTTCCTCCAGCTGCACCTGAACGGAGCAGGAGAAGGTTAAAAAAAAGAGAACAGAGGGGGGAGGTGCAAGATCCCCTTTTTTGTAACACCTTGGCTTCCTCCTCCTCCTCTTCCCCTCCTGTCTCTTTCTCTCTGTCTCTCTCTCTCATACACACATACAAACACAGAAACCCTTCCTGCTTTCTCATCCTTTTTATCCTTTTCCTCCAGCTGCACCTGAACGGAGTGGGAGGAAGTTAAAAAGAGAGAAGGGGTGGAAGAATGGGGGAAGCTCTCCTTTTTTGTAACACTTCGGCTTCCTCCTCTTCCACTCCTGCTTGTCTCTCTCTCTCTCACACACACACACACACAAAGAGAGAGAGAGAGAGAGAGAGAGAGAGAGAGAGAGAGAGATCCTTCCTGCTTTCTCCTCCTTCTCACCCTTTCTCTCCAGCCACCACAGAGTTTCACATTGCCGGCCACTGGCAGTTCCAGGCTCTGGCCCTGCATGACTGCTGCGTTCCCCTCTCCGGACCTATCACATGGCGGAGACAGCGACTGGGACCCGTCCGATGCTCGGCTTGTGCCACCCCATGCTCACATCTCCGTGCCTTTCATCCCACAGGCTAGGTGTGCTAGGCTTACAGAATGCCATGGCCCAAGCGAGGAAAGGTGCGGCGCGGTGTGCAAAGCAGAGCCGGACGAGGAAAAGCCCCGCAAATCGGGGTGTGGCCAGGCGTGACGGGGTTAGGCTGTGAGGGGAGGGGCGGGGCAGGCTGAGGCAAATGAGCTGCAGCTGCTGCTGCACACCACCAGCCTCTGAGCACTCACTGTTTCCTGTGTGTGCGCCAGGGCGCCCAGCTAGGTTGGGGTGGGCCAGGGCTAGGGCTGCGGGGGCCGGTCCCTTGCCATTTCTGGGACAGCCCCAGTGGGCCAAATCTGGGCCCTCTGCGGGCCTTGTGTTTGACATGTCTGCAATAAAGTATATTGATAGACCAAATCACTGAGAAATATTTGTTATTTCTCAATTATCTTTTACATAGGAGATAGTATCTTTGTAGTGATTTAGCCCAGTCACATACTTATTATACCAATAAAATAAATTTACATAAATGGTATCAAACAATATCATCATCTAAATTGCATAAATTATTCCATTTTATCTTATTCAAACAATATAAATTGCCATGAATATTTGATGTCTCAGAAATTTAAAATGCAGAGTCCATTTTATGTCAAGATTTCATCTTGTATTATCTTGTATTGAGTCTGTTTTAATTTAATTTGAGTCTTGTTTTAATTTAGACTGATAGTGTTCTGAAAGTCTATCCTCTGGTTTCCCAAAAGCTTTATTCTGACATATATGTAAAAACTACATTATTATCTAATTTATTTTGATAGTGTTTTATGGGTTTCAGAAAGTATGCTGTGGGAATATTTTTAGGTCTATTTGGAGTTTTTTTTCTATAGGTAGTCCTTAACTATGACTATGGTGGACATAAATTGGGTCACCCAGCAGACTGACCCAATTTTATATTTTTTTGCAATAGTTGTCAATGAACATCACAGTCATTAAGCGTACACTGCAGTTGTTAAATGAACCAATGGTTCACTAGCAGTTGGTTTTGCTGAAAACCAGAAGTAAATGCTGGTTTTCAGCAAAACTGTCATACAACACTTTAACGTATGTTATTTGTATGGCGATGTCATTAGAGTGGAAACTAGTCCCACTGCATGCTGTGGCATCAAAGTCTGGTGCATAAGAGTTTTATTCTATTGTAAATAGCAGTCATATTATCAGAATAAGGTTGGTCATACTATCAGAATAATAGTATAGTGTTAGGATGCTACATGTAATTAAATTAAATTAACAGTTGCAAAGGTAATTTGTTTCCTGGCTGAATTTCCTAATGGTCCTTTTCTGTCCTCCTTTCACAGCCCCAGCCCTGGATGTAGACTGGCAAAACAATACTACCTTTGCATCATGCAGCACTGATATGTGCATACATGTATGCAGACTAGGCTGCGATCGTCCAGTCAAAACCTTTCAAGGCCATACGGTAAAATTAAGCAATAATCTTAACACATTGCAGTTAAAACAGACTTTATCAATATTTCAAGAATAAAATATTCTTAAATCAACAGCTTTCTAGTTCATTTAGCTGGCAGGCATATATTGAATTTTGAGAATATATTTATGTGTTCATGCAAAATAGTAAGAATATTGCTCTGAAATGAGAGTTTCCTCATTCACAAATTAGCTGACAAAGTGGTAATATCTATTAAGAGAAAGCCAAGAAGGAAAGTTCCATTATTACCAGAGCTGATTTTGCCTTCTTTCTTTCTACTTCAAAATTAGATAACACATTAGGGATTTTAGTCTTAAATTTAATCTTGTGTATTCTTGGCAGTAAATTCATTGACATTAATAAGAATGTAGTGGACTTAATGTTTATTTGTTTTTATAGTTTTGCTTTAGAAAAATAGAAATGCTATTTTTATTAAAACATTAAATAGAATTCATGATAGTGAACCAGTGGTCTGAATTAATATGCAACACTTTCTTCAGAGATTATTTAAAACCCATAGGTATTGTTTTTAACGTATGAAGAGATCTGTAAAAAAGGTAGCTAATTGTAATATTGGGAGAATGCAAGAGAATTTATCAATTAAATAGCAAATCCAGAAAATGTATGATTTTAAATTGTAATTTATAATATTATAAATTAAATTAATTTTGAGTTTTTAAAAAATATTTAGGTTCATTATTGTAATTAATATAAAGCCTCTCTATATTACATTAACACAACAGCAGATATAACAGCTTTTGCATTCTTACATGAGGCAACTTCTAATTCCAATTTTTAATTTTCCATGCATCCCTGATGGCTATTTATTTATAAAACAGACAAAATACCCATGAAATGATAATATGGTAATAATAATGCTTAAGATGTTAATTCATTGACATTTAACTTCTATAAGCATCTCACACAAAATTATGAACTCTGTAGTGATTATAACTTGCTTCCATTTGCAGTGGGAATGCATAAAATCTTGACATTTTAAAGGGGTATCTTGGACAAAATGATAATAACTGAACAACAGATTGAATTCTCTCTAAATGTAGACTTATAATGTTTAACAGAAGAAGTAAAAAGTTGCAAAACAAGAAATGTACAGGTAATCCCCCAGGTACAAACATTTATTTAGCAAGTTTTCACAAAAACAAATTAATTCAAAAAGGGTACTTACATTAGAAATTCAAAATTACGACCAAAAAGAAGCCTCTGTAGCCATGTGACTTGGATTCAGTCTCTGCTGCAAACGACTGCCATTTTAACTCTGTGATTTGCCTGGGCCATCGGGTGCTATGAGAAGCCGAAAGTTTTTGTTTTTTTTTTATCCCTGGTCACATGGCCAAACAAGAGCAGAATCGGCAGCAGTTTTTGCTTTTGCTGCAATCTGCTACTGCCTGGGCTCGAGTGCTAGAATTACTTCTTTAAGTATTTTTTTTTAAAAAAAATTGTTACTCTATAGTGCTTGCAAACAAACAGGAACTTTTTGTGAACTGCTCTGCTTTTTAAGTGCTGTACTTTGCAAACTATTGCGTTTGCATTGAGCTTTTATTTTTGAGATTAGCATATATTACTGTAGTTTGTAGGTTTTAAATTTAAATTGCCTTCAGAAGTTGTGGGTGCCCCATCACTGGAAGTTTTAAGAAGAGACTGGATAGGCATTTATCAGAAATACTGTACTCAGAGCACTGGGTCTAACTGGATGACCTCAATATCCCTTCCATCTCTGTTACTATCGCAAGCCGAGAGTTCTACAAATCCCTCCCCCATCTCCCTCTGGATGTTTGGCTGGAGATTCTTAGGCTGGCAAGTGGGTTTTTTTAAAGCAACGGCTCCACACCACACACCCCCTGAGATAGCTGAAGACGCTTGAGCTGGCTAGCAGCAGTTTTTTTTAAAAAAATAACTAATGGCTGCAAGCCCTGCTTGGATGCAATTTAGTTTCTGAGCCAGCTCACCAGAAACAGCTGATTGGCAACCGGTGGGAAACGGAGTTCAGTTATCAGGGCAGCTATTGGAGGAAATAGTAAGTCAGATCTTCGTTCATTTAACAACTCATTTGATTTAATTAATGAATTTAATTTTAAAAATTTGTAAAATTGAGTCTGATTCATATGACAAGTTTTTTTGACTTACGAGCCTAATGGCCAGGATCCATTAGGTTCGTACCTTGAGGACTACCTGTAATTGTTTGTCTGCTTATAACAGCATAATTAATCATTATCTAACAATGGAAAACTTTTGCTTGCAAAATGATTCAATAACATTCAGTCTATTGCCCTGTTTGAGAAACTTCTGAAAAGTTACATGTTTAAAAAATGGAGTATTTTTACTTGATGTGCCAATAAATTCAGCTTAAGTAGCTTGCTTGTTTGTAAAAAGTACAACACTGTTTATACACACTAATTTTAAAATACACCCTTTATTTCAGAATGAGGTCAATGCAATTAAATGGGATCCTTCTGGTATGCTTCTAGCATCCTGCTCAGATGATATGACGTTAAAGGTAATCTGAGGTCCTAGCATATGGTAGTATTTTCAAGAACTTGAATTGAAATTTATAAAATATTATTTGTAAAAGTTTTCAAAGGATTTGCAATGTCTTTAAAACCATCTGAAAATAGAAATTACTAGTCTTTTGCATGCTTTTTTTCATAGTGATCTGCATCATAGACGAAGAAAATATTTCTAAATATAGATTTTATTTATCTCCATTCAATTGATTCTTTATATAGATTTGGAGTATGAAACAAGACACTTGTGTACATGACCTTCAAGCACATAACAAAGAGATTTATACTATCAAATGGAGTCCAACAGGACCAGGTACCAGCAACCCAAACTGCAACATTATGTTGGCAAGGTAAAAGCAAAACAATGCAATGTCTTCCATTTTCATACCAAAGCACTTGAAACACAGCTTCTCTTCACAGCTCCTTAGCATTCTATGCTCTCAGTTATATTTAACTAAGTGTTTACATATTTACAAAGTTATTGGTATTCTTCATAGAATATTAGAAGCAAAAGCATGTTTTGAAAAATGTTCCTTGCATTGTCAGCACTGGCAGAGCAGGAACAGAAAACTGTATTTTTGTGCTGAGCTCAAAATAAAGGCTTTCTTCTTCTAGCAGCCTGTGCAATTCCTACGATGCAGAACCTACTTCATCCCTTTTCCTCCAACCCTACTTATTTATCTGTATTAAGTTTCATGGCCCACCTACATGCTAGTTAGGATCTATGACAATTTGCCATGGACAACTTGCCGTGGGACAACTTGCCATGGCCAACTCACCACAGGACAACTCATTGCTGGACAAAAGTTACACTAATAACAAAGAAATGGTGGAATAGAATCATTGTGAAAGGATGCAAAAGGAGGGACAGAATGAAATGTGATCAACAAAAATTAAAATATTTTTTTATTTATTTTAAATAATTAAATAGAATTGTTAAATTGTTCTGCACAGAGTTGTCCCATGGCAAGTTGGATGTGGCAAGTTGTCCTGCAGCAAATTGTCTGTGGTGAGTTGGCTGTGGCAATTTTTTATTTATTTTAAATAATTAAATAGAATTGTTAAATTCTTCCACAGAGAGTTGTCCCATGACAAGGTGGCTGTGGCAAGTTGTCCCATTCCCTGCTATTTATGGTTACCTATGACTACTGAATTAATATGGGGCTGTGACTCTGATATAGTCATTCAAGGAACTTGTTACATTGGGAAATCTCTATATCAGCAATGGAATGGGGAGATAAGCCCAAGCACATATCTGCATAGGAAGGCAGAGAACATTGTATAAGATCAATAGGTTATTTTAATAGTGATACTAATGTTTTAACAACTTACATGAGCAATATCCTCAATGAAAAAAAATGTTTTTATCTCTTTACTTCAGTGCTTCATTTGATTCTACTGTTCGGTTGTGGGATGTAGAAAGAGGTATCTGCACTCACACGTTAACAAAACATCAAGAACCTGTTTACAGTGTAGCTTTTAGTCCTGATGGAAAATATTTAGCAAGTGGATCCTTCGACAAATGTGTTCATATATGGAATACCCAGGTATCGTAATTTTATATCTTGGCACTAAGATATAGGTTTAAACATGCTCTTTAAATTGTAGTAAATATGTTTGTAACTTATGGGTCTTTTCCCGTGTAAGATTGAGAGTATCTTGGCGACGTTTCGACGAGGTCCCACTCGTCATCTTCAGGCTGGGGTCTTCGGCTTTGTGCTTGTGCGAGCAAAGTGTGATCGGAGCTGCCGTCTCTCTATACATATTGGTGGGGTGTGTGTGGAGTGCTGGCTTAGTTGCTGTAGGTGGATTGGTTGGCTGTGTGGATTGGTTGGCTGTTATTGTTTGTGGAATGTTCAGCTGTTTCGTAACATCCTGAGTACTCGAGGTGCTGGCTGTGTGCCCATTAGTCTTTTGTGTTATAACGACCTGGGTAATAGGTTGTGTGATTACATCCTGAGATCTAGTGTAGTGATATCCTGAGTTTTGAGTTGCAACATCCTGGGTGATTAGCTGTGTTGTAACCTCCTGAGCTTTAGCATTATAACTTCCTGAGTTCTGTGATGTGGTGTCCAGAGCAGAAGGCTGTGATGTAGCATACCGGGCTTTGGTTTGGCTCCAAGTTTGCGGTCTAGCTCTGTGTTCATGGCGTGTGTCCGTTTGCTTTGTGTGGGGGTCGGAGGGATGTGCAGCAGCTGGTGATGTCGTTGTGGTTTGGCTTCTGGATGGTGGTTGCATTTCGTCTGAGGGATGGGTTTGGGCGTGGGTTTGGGTCTGGTGAGGGTGAATGGTGGTGGCATACTGTGTTCTGGGTCTGGTGTCAGTTTTCGTGGCTAAGACACATTTGTTGATTAGGGCTAGTTTCCAGATATCTGGTAGGTGGGAGGTATCGTCACATTTATTCATGTTGTGGGGGTGTTTTTCTATTTAGATGGCTTCCATAATTATTCTCTTGTTGTGGTGTTCAGTTTTGGAGATTAGTTTGGTTCCTTCAAAATCAATTTCATGTCCTGTAGCTTTAAGATGCTGGAAGAGGGAGGAAGTTTTTTCTTCTTTTCTGACTGCGTTCTTGTGTTCTGCGATGCGGGCATTTATTCTCCTATTAGTTTGTCCAATGTATGTGGCTGGGCAGATTTTACCATGCAAAATCTGCCCAGCCACATACATTGGACAAACTAATAGGAGAATAAATGCCCGCATCGCAGAACACAAGAACGTAGTCAGAAAAGAAGAAAAAACTTCCTCCCTCTTCCAGCATCTTAAAGCTACAGGACATGAAATTGATAAACTAATCTCCAAAACTGAACACCACAACAAGAGAATAATTATGGAAGCCATCGAAATAGAAAAACACCCCCACAACATGAATAAACGTGATGATACCTCCCACCTACCAGACATCTGGAAACTAGCCCTAATCAACAAACGTGTCTTAGCCACGAAAACTGACACCGGACCCAGAACACAGTATGCCACCACCATTCACCCTCACCAGACCCAAACCCAAGCCCAAACCCATCCCTCAGACGAAATGCAACCACCATCCAGAAGCCAAACCACAACGACATCACCAGCTGCTGCACCTCCCTCCGACCCCCACACAAAGCAAACGGACACATGCCATGAACACAGAGCTAGACCGCAAACTCGGAGCCAAACCAAAGCCCGGTATGCTACATCACAGCCTTCTGCTCTGGACACCACATCACAGAACTCAGGAGGTTACAATGCTAAAGCTCAGGAGGTTACAACACAGCTAACCACCCAGGATGTTGCAACTCAAAACTCAGGATATCACTACACTAGATCTCAGGATGTAATCACAGAACCCATTACCCAGGTCGTTATAACACAAAAGACTAATGGGCACACAGCCAGCATTTCGAGTACTCAGGATGTTACGAAACAGCTGAACATTCCACAAACAATAACAGCCAACCAATCCACACAGCCAACCAATCCACCTACAGCAACTAAGCCAGAACTCCACACACCCCCACCAATATTTATAGAGAGACGGCAGCTCAGATCACACTTTGCTCGCACAAGCACAAAGCCGAAGACCCCAGCCTGAAGATGACGAGTGGGACCTCGTCGAAACGTCGCAAGATACTCTCAATCTTACACGGGAAAAGAACTGAATACGCCAAGACCTACATATATATATATATGTGTGTGTGTGTGTGTGTGTGTGTGTGGCAGAGACCTATGAATCTAATAGACTTAACAAAAGGATATTCCTGTCACTAGTAGTTTTGTGTCTATCTGTAGGAGCAGGTGTGTATATAGTACACTGTAGACAGATCTTACTTATGTTGAATAGTAAAATGTATGACCAGGATTCCTATTCCAAAATGATTTTCAGCAATAAAGTTTTAAAGTTTGTTTAAATCATACCCTTTAAAAAATTACTAAGTCCTTTCCTTCAGCTTTATGTTTTCATTAATTGAAAGAGATTATAAACAGTATTCTTTCAATAGCTTAATTAGAAGTAGATAACCTAGTACTTTCCAGGTGCTTTAGACCAGAGGTCCCCAACCTTTTGGGCACCAGCGACCAGTTCTGTGGAGAAAGTTTTTTCCACGGACCGGAGGGGGCGTGGTTTTGTGCGCTGCCTGCATCTCGCGGATGGGGTTTTGCTTGTTTGTGCAGACTGGTTGCTGGTATGCCGCGGCCTGGTACTGGTCCACAGACCGGGGGTTGGGGACCTCTGCTTTAAACTCCAACTGCCATTAGATTCAGACTGTATAACATATACTATATGATGTAAAATAATAACAGAATGTCATGTTTGTAGTCCAGAAACAAGTAGCAAGACGGATTGTTTGAAAATAACTTTAAAGCAAGTTTAATGGAGACACTTAAATATTCATCTTTAGTGTGTATGTCTTTCGCTATGGTAGACTTCATGTTTTGAATTTAGTCCAAAAACTAACCTAATTTAATATTGTTGCCTTTTTTAATCTGTCAAAAGGACTGTTCTTATGTTGATTCTCAGTCAAATTGTCAAAGGCAACTTTGATGGTAATGATGTTGGCTGCATTCCTTCCTAGGAATAGCAGTCTACACTCAAGATACTGTAAGTGAACTTAATTAAGAAATTGTATCAGTCCAGAAAATTACTCAAAATACCAATGTGTTCTGTTATAGATGCGACTCTCCCAATGTTGCTAAATTCTTGGCAAGCCTCAACATTTTTATACTAACTGAAACTTATATCAGTTGTAGTTTGGATCTCTTGGAATAGGGTCATATAAATTAGAAGAAAAATTACATTTTAAGAGTAGTTTCATTCTTAGTTATTTTTTTAATTCAGTTTTCAGTTTTATGTAGACTCCTTACTTGTTATTCTTTACTTTATTTTTATTTTTTTTACTTTATTTTTGATTTATATCCCGCCCTTCTCCCGACAGGGACTCAGGGCGGCTCACAACATATTTAAAAACAGAAACATATTTACAATCCCCACCCAATAAAACCAATTAAGACCAAATATTTTAAAGTTGTGCTGTTTAAAATTTTCTAAAAAATGAACCCGATTTAAAATCCTCCCTAGGCCAGGCCTGCTTGTTGGAAAAGCCATGTCTTGAGGGCGCGGCGGAAAGTAAGGAGATCCGGAATCATCCGGATCTCGGGGGGTAGATCGTTCCAGAGGGCGGGG